ACGTCCCTCTCCCCAAGGTGCTGTTGTGGGCTCTGTGAGGTTTCTCCGTATTTTTGCCTCTACTTATTCACTAAACTTATTAGTCCGTACTTCTCTCTCACAGGAAATTCAATACTACATGTTGTATTATTACTTATGTTGGGAGCCTTTTATGACTTGATACAATATGCATTTGAACTTATAAACGTCTCTAATGCAATGTTCTGGCATTAATTCTTATCCAGATGACCTATATATTGGGGCTAAGTTGTCTGTCTTTTTATGAATATAATCCATACTTGGCTTTGTGGCTTTGAATCGTTCCTGGTATAAACCATGAGCATTTTTGCCCACCACAGATCTTGAAGCAAAGAAGAACGAAACTTTTACTGGTGGCGACCAGCAGGAAAAAAAATCCGATGAAATTGAGGTCTCCGAGGCCCAACAGCAACAGCTAAACTTTGCCGAGTTCGATTTTGACTCCGAGACCTCCGCTGCTGCTGCTGACACTGCGGCCTTGGTTGCCGCTCAACGTCGGCCGCTGGGCGGTTCAGCTCGGCCGGTACGGGAGAGACGCGTCGCACGACTGGACAAGATCTTGCAGGAGGATATGGTCCGTCGACGTCTGGAGATGGAACAACTTCGTCAGCAGCAGCAACAGCACATTCAGTCTGAGACACAACAGGTCCAATCGACTGAAACGACCTCGATGACAGAGAAGGGAGTGGGGGAACAAAGTACCATTGCAGAGGTAGAGAACGCAGTTTCACAGCCACCACCTCCATCACTAGAATCCCGGCCAATGGAGAAGAACGAAGGCATCGCTGTGTCGACAGATTTGCCTGCTCAGCTCGGCGAAATGGGCATAACTGGTGAGGGGAATACTGCGCTAGTAGGTGTTGCCACGACGGTGTCGCATTAACGACTTGACTTGACCCTGTTTGTGCTTTTTTGCCAATTGATTTGCGACTGGCTCATTAAGGTTAAGTGAAGTGTTTCCAATCCTGATGTGCCAGTCACTGCCTTTTCAGAGAAACGAGTGTAATTGAGGCTTTGTTTAGGTCATCTCCGTATTACTTGGAAATATTTGGATTGGGGTTTCACTCAAGCTCCGCATAGGGCTTGAGAGAATAATCGATTTGGGTCTGTCCTGAGCAGCCGTGTGAACTATTTCATCGTTCTCTGCCTTATTCACGGCTGGTCTTCCTGTAAGTTGTGAACACATATGGAACACGAAGGTATTGTGCTTCAAGGCAATCGTAAGAATCTAGTATGCACATCACAGCCTTGCTTAGGACCTTCAGGTATTGCTCATTCTGCAACATTAACAGAACTGGATGCACTGATCATGCAGCCAGTTGATGGTGATTGGGAAGTTTGCTGTATGGGCTAAGGCTTCCACAATTAGTGTGAATCAGGATTGAGCTCAATATCACTTCAAAGACGACGGAATGTTAGTAAAAACTTTTTTGATGAGATCATCTGATGTCCGGCAGTTACTTTTGTGTTTGTTTTGCC